CTGGATCAAACGAAAGGTCGCCATTACTGGACTGGATTTGCTCATTATAAAACTGGTAGGCCTAGGGATTGTTTGAGTCGCAAATAGATGGTATTGAAAAACCTGTTTGACTTTTTACAGTAAATATTATGTTTTTCAGTTAAGACCGAGGTATCTCCATCACTATCTCGGGCGCCATGAAACATATAGCAAACCATAACGGACTTGTAAAATTTCATCTCCACTAAATACCACAACAATGCGCACGTATTTTCGATTAGGGAAAGCCTCACTGAATTGATCCACTTTTAGAATCCTATTTCCTTCTATTTATTTTTTCTAGCTTATATATTTTGTCTAATCATACTATAAAATTGATCGAATTGTCGTAGTTTTAGTTTATTTTATTCAATAATCAACTTTTGAAATCGTCCAAAAAAAAGTAATCCTAGAAACTGTACATTAATATCCGTCCATTCATTTCAAGATGGCAGCCGAAAAACCTGTGTCACTGTAGCCTACAGGAATGTGCCGATTTCAATGAAATTTGGCCAAAGTCTTCTCCTAGAAGCTCTTTGAATTCATGTATATAACATAATTCATCGAAAAGTACTTTAATTTCAAGATGGCAGTCGAAATACCTGTGTCGTATAGACTGAAGCGCCTGAATGGATGTACGAATTTCAATGAAACTTGGCCAACGTGTTCTCATCGAAACTCTTTGAATTTATGTATATAACATATTTCATCAAAAAGAAGCTGAAAGAAAAGTGAAGAGGGAAGGTCAAATTACATTTCTGAATAACTTAAAAAGTATACACTTTTTGGTTAATTTTATAATCAGGTGTTTAAATGGTATTTAAATTTCTTAAGAAACAAATGAGTTTCATCGAAATCTTTCTACTATTAGTAAAGATATCGCGGTTGTTAAACATTTTTGGTTTATTATTTTCAATAATCAACCTTTGTAATCGACCAAGAAGAAAAGTTAACCCCCACATCCTCAATTACATTTGAGATAATACTGTTTGGAAATAATAAATCATTGTGTAACTATTTGCAGAATTTTTGTAAATTACATCGGAAATTTTAAAATTAATTCACTCCCCATACTTTCTTATCAAGATTCAAGTATTTAAATTTAAAAGAAGAATTTGGAAACTTTTTCAAGTTGTCATTTCAGTTTAATCACGCTTGTAAATGAATATTTTATCGTTTATTCATTAAAATGAAGGACATATCAAAATTACTTGGTAACCATATTTGTACCAAAAACAAAATTGCAATTTGAGATTTCAATTAAGTTGTTAATTTTATAAATAGGAAATTGGTAACGAAAAAACAAAATACTCCTTAAAATTCGCTGTTATTATTATTATAAATCGTTCATCTTTGGTTACTTTACTATACCTAAAGTGTATAAATGGATAAATAATCGACTGATCAATCATATGGATGAAATAAAATTTTCAGTCATGATATTTTTATTAGCGTAGCCGATATTTCGAGCCAAACATTTTTTCTCCTTCTACCCAAAACTGATTACCTCAACCCCTCAGTTCTTGTCTCGACTTCCAAACGATAGATAATTGTCACCAAACTTAATAGTTATTAAACTCTGTGTCTATATACATATATATTTTTTTGCCGTATTTGTTAATTTTTATTTATACGCGTTACTTTTGTACAATTATTATTTATTGAATTGTTTTTGTTCTTGTTATTTACATTATTTTTTTGTTAATTCTCACTTTTGATATACATATCTTTTCATTTATTTATATCACAAAATCATTTTCTTATCATTTTTCGATGTTTTTACTATAGTATACTTTTACATTTATCATTTTGCTGATTTTATTCTATAATTTTATTACTGTCATCTTACTTATTTACTCTTATTACTATCATATTCTTACTGTTATACTGCAATCTTATTACCGTTACACTTTTATATATGTTATTTTACTGATGATATTTTATATTTTGTAATTTTTAGCCCTGAAGATGACCAGCATGTTTGGGTCGAAACGTCGGCTAATTTAATAAAAATATCTTAACTGAAAGTCTTGAAAATTTTATTTCATCTACACCTAAAATGGTTCACAAATGATAGCAATATTTAGAAGTTTTATAAATTAAATTAATAATATAGCTCTAATTTCAAACAAAAAACTTAATCCACATCCACATTCAAAACCCTCTTATTCCAATTCCTCTTCACAACCCAATTAGACGTTGGTTAATTATGTATCATGCAACAAGGATATTTTTTTTTCATACACCATTATTTTATTTTATTTTTTGTTTATTATTTGTGAATTGGAAAGATTCAGTATCACTTTTGGCATAGCACTGTGAGGTGATGCATAAAAAGTAAGAGATTGTTTGTGGTTTTTATCCATTTTTCTTTTTTCTATCTATAAGATTGTGTATATTTTAGACGTATTTCATTTCTTACACTCCTCAATTTGTATACATATATATCTTCTATTGCCTTTTCTTTCTATACATGTAATTCTTTTTCCTTTTTTTTTTTTTTCCTTTTCTTTTTGTGTTTTTTTCTAGTTAAATTATAAATATAGTTGAGAAGATTTTATTTTATTTTTTATTATTTTACATACTATTATTTAAGTTGTTGTAAATATTGTTTGAATCTTTATTGAGTCAGTTTTTGGCCGGATGTATACTTTTTTTTTCTTTTGTAACTGTACATTATTGTTATTCTAAGAGGACATCGTCCTAGAATAAAGTTTATTTTCTATTTCTATTTTTATTTCTAATAGTAACATCCTTAAAATAGATTATTTTGAGGCGCTTGAGATACAAGGACGTGGAGTGCCTACGCCATCAGGGTCTTTCCCTTCTCTACTTTGTCTTTCTAGATACAATCAAACCCTATGTTGGACCAGGCGACATGGCACTTCATTACTGTTTATTTAGGTGCGAAGAAACATTAACACTAAGGGTTTTATCAGCATCATTTAGATAAATGATAAGAGCGCTCTGCTGCGGCATATCCAGGCTCTATAAAGTGGCTACCTTTAATTGGAGTTGAGAGGGAGGAAAAATCACATTATTATTGTCATGTTTATATACCATCATTAAGGGAAAATAAGGTTCTATTAACATAGCTAAGGAAGGGCATGTTGAACAGCTGATTGGCAGGGAAAGAAAGAAAAAATATTCGCATAACTGAAATATAATTATACAAAAGAAAAAGCTGAAAGGTATATACATAACATCCTTTCCGGATAAAACTTAGTGGATGCACGACCATTCCAGAAAAAAATATTATCTAGCTATTTGCTTATTTTAATAATACTAGTGTTCGCCCAGTGGTCGAAATTCGACCATAGCCATTGAAAATTTGAAGAAAACATAATTAAATTAAAAAGAAATTCAATAAATAAAGACTAAATCACGATTCAAAAATCCTCATTTATTAATATAAACAAAATTTCAATTTCAATTAAAAATCGAACTTAAACTACCTAAAATTATTTATAAGTAATACAAAATGGACTCATTCATAATATTTAATTTCCATTTTAATTTATGTGTTATCATCACAATAAATAATTTCAACTGAGTTTAAATTATTTTTATGCGGAACATCTCTGAAAAAAATGTTCTTTTTTAATGTTCTGTTATTGTTTTGTACATAGCCTTGACCATTGCCAGTGGAAATATAAATTTTAATTTTAACGTGCTCTACTTGCTGCTACATATAATTATCCATGCGAAATTACAGGACGTTGCAATAATAAATACATTTTTCCAAAATTTTGATCCTGCGATTTGATTAAGGTCACAGCAAATGCAGTTATTATTAAGAACGTTGTTCTTTGAAATTCGAATAGAAGTATTGTGTCAGAAAATATTATATTAATTGTTGGAATTAAAATTCTTTAATTGAAAATAGTTCCCTTCCCTCTCGTTCGTGTTTCATTAACTACTGCTTGTGCAGTATTTAAGTTAAGGATTTAAGAGTATAACTATCGAATTTATTTTTAAATTTAATTTAAGAGATAACATTCCATAATATCATCTCTTCAAATAATAGCCCCGATCACTTCATTAAAATTAACGTTTTCGATTTATCAAAAACCGAAATCGACTCGGCAAAAGAAACAGTACTAAATGTTTGAAATGATATATCTCTGCAACAAATAGTCCGATTTTGATTGTTTTTTTTTTATTTTGTAGGAAATCAAGAAAGCTTCCAAATAAATACTGGTATTATCTATAAAAAAAATGAGTACTTTTTGAGTTATTCGCAATACTGAATTCATCATAAAAATTTATGCAGCTTGTTTCGGGAAATGATGTTAAATACATAAATTATAAAGGTTTCAAGGGGAAGACTTTAGCCAGGTTTCATTGAAATCGGTGTAGCTGTAGAAGGAAGAAAATCGGTTGAACAATAGAGGAGTAAAAGAGGCTGAACCGTTTTGTTTTTGCCTATTTATATAATGATATTTAATTATTATAATTTTTTTTATATACAAAAATGTGAATTTATAAATGATGTATAATAATAATCATAATTTTAATGTGAAAAATTGAATGTATTATATTAATATTTAACAAAGTTAGTACATTTATCTGTAAGAAGGAGCCTGAAGCCCTAAATTAAAAGAGAATAAATAAATCAATCTATCTTGAATCGATGAAACAGGTGTGGACTAACAGTCATGCCTAAAGAAAGGGTTGAAAAATAAAACAGTATGTGGGTTGTAATATAGTCCTTAAGTTTGAATAGAGCACTGTTGAATATTTATTGTATAAACAAAACCAAAAGATGTACCGTGCTAAGATTTTAGCCTTCAATATATCTCCATTGTATTGAGATATTAAATTTATCCTACAAATACCGACTAAGTGCTATTTAAAACATTCATTATTCCTACGAAAAGTTTTTCTTTTTTACCGTTTTGTTTTCTGCTACAGGATAAAAAAAATAAAAAAAACTGAGCACATGTAGCGATAAACAAAGAGCGTTACATATTAATACTCACGTTTCAAGCAGAGCTTGTAGAAGTAGTTGACCGCGGGGTCTGGCTTGATGACCTCCTTGTAGCCGGGTATGTTGGGAACTCGATGGCACGAGGACTTGGCGTAGTCGACTACGAAGCCCAGGCAGTCGGAACTCGATCGGCATCTGCAACAGATATCCAGGATATATTGGCCTCTAGAGGTTGGTTCGGCATTCCTGCAAAGGGACAAGCCATTTCGATTAAGTTTTTATTCTGTTGGCATCACTAGCAAAGAGAGGTTACGGAGATTACCCATAATGCCCATGGGTTCCAGTCAATTTGTTCTAGGAACCAACAAAAAAAAATTATTTTATAAAATAAATCCCATCAAATTACCTTTACTCTTCGTCGTAAACCTATGACTTCCTGTCCTACAATATCTTTTAACAATACCCCACTCCTCCCTGTTGAACAAATCCTAGGATCCTCCACCTTGACAAACGACTCCTTTGGAACCCCCGTACCAGACTGAAACGACTAGAAACCGCCCGACGTTTCCGACTACTCCAGCACTTACTAGACAAGCGCTCTAAACTGCCAACTATTTACAAAAGACTCATATATATTACTATAATAAGGCCTATTTGGACTTAAGAGATCGAGCTCTACTTTTCCAGAAAATTGATGAAAGAAAAGATTTGAGTACAATTTATTTGATAAACCATCAAATTCCTCTCGTATCCAATCCCTACAATCCAAAATCCTTAGTAAAATCCTTAATACACCATACTTTGTCACAAATAAAATCATCCATAATGACCTTAATGTACCATATGTTTCCGATTTAGCTCAATCCAGATACCTGTTCTTTCAGAATAAACTTCTGAACGATCCGAACCCTATTGTTTCCAACCTTGCTTCCTCTTCTATTCCTGATAACCCTCCGAAGCGTCTGAATTCGTCAAAAACCGCATATCGGAAATTTGACCCGATCGTAATACTTTTCTTACCTAGTATAGGTAGGAAAATAAAAACCAAAAGTCGCTTCCAGTAAACTACAGTCAATTAATTTTTGTTATGTACAAATTCAGATTCGTTTCTAGCAATCTTTAAAACTTTTAAATAAGAATTTATTCTGAAATTAAAAAACATAAATTAATGAATTTTCGGATTACTAAAACATTCATCACTGAAGGCGAATCGACAAGAGCCCTCTAGATCTAATTTTTTAGATATTAGTAAAATATTTCCCTCCAAAAAAATTTCATTAAAATCAATAATAACACGCCTGTAACCCCACTTGTGAAGTACCAGGTATAATTCAAATATAGAATTCTGTACCAGTACCGGCCTTAAACACTTGATGCCATCGGGAAATGACGTCACATCCCTCACCTAAAAAAAAATTATTTATTTCATAAGCTGTTTAATATTATGAAATATTTGAATTTTATCACACTAAATATTTTTCCAATACAGTTGCTTTATTTGTTGACTAAAGTTATTTATTTTAATAAATTTTGTATTTTTTTTTTCAGTTCCTAACAAGTGACTATTATATAATTACTATGACTATTAACAGGAAATAGAAAAACATATAAAAAAGATAGGGAAAAAAAAGGAAATTTAATGTAAAAAAATAAAAATTAATGAACAATAAAAAGGCATACATGTATGTTTGCTATATTGGCATAATTTGAAGTGGCACCATACATTTATGAATAAGTTTTGAAGGATTGTCTAAGGGATTTATTATTATGCTGTGTATAGTAATGCCATAATAAATATTGTTGAAGAGATAATATAATCTGCCACAAACAAGGTCAATGAATATTATGGCTCTATGTTTACATTCATACATTTTATATACAAATTAAAACACAAATCAGGAAAAAAATAAATAAGAAGAAAACATGTAAGTAAACATACAGTAAGTAGAATATATTAATTATTAAGTCAAAATATTGTTATGGGAATATAAAAATATTATATCTACAAAAATAAACTGAAAATCAAAACGATCTCAAAATGTTTCAATTGGATCTTGGAACGCGGTAGCGTTCAGTTCCAGCAATCCTGCAATGGTTAGGATTTTAGGCTTGTTAATCTTTGGAATAGAGTATTACCCAACGTACAGCAAAAAAATCGAAAGTTTGAATTTTCCATCCCATAACGCTTTGCTTATTACCGAAATAATCTTATAATTGAACTGTAAGTGATAGAATTCCAGTAACCCGAATTATTGTTGTTACATATCATCTGTAGCGATAGAAGTTACGTGATTAGCGCAAAAAATAACGATGGAATAGAACACAGATGTTGGATGATGATATTTTCAATGATTGGTGCGGCATTGGAGCTTTATCATCTAAAGGTAACAATGATTATTCTATAACAATTATATTAGTTCCCATATGTGCGAAAGTATTCAGTGAACAACAAAGACAAAGTCATAGAAAATTTGATCATTCAAAGATTATCTAAATACAGATAGAAACTAATCATAGTACGCGGTACAGATCATTTTTTTTTTAATTATTAACATTCGTCAATGACCTCATCTTATCGTAACTTTCATTTAGGAAAATTCTTCGAATATGGGGAGTTTTCAATATGAAAGATCAATACACTTTGTCTATTTATTGAACTACTTAAAATTCATAAAAACCAATTTGCTTTCCAAAAAAAAAAAAAAAAAAGGTAGCCTTCAAAAATATTGAGCTGTTTGGCGTTTTCTCAACCTCCCAATATGTCAAAATAACGAGGTTATGTAGGACAAACAGTCCAAATTTTGAGTATTCCATCTTTTTTTCTCGATTTTTTTGATCAAATTATTATATGATTCAAGTGGAAAACAAATATTCATAGGGTTTTAATAGCTCGTTATATTAATTAATGATATTATATATTAAAATTATATGTTATATTATATTAAAAAATGATAAAAATCCTCCATTTCTGAGAATGTTCGTTGATAAAATTATTATAGGTTACGATAAATTGAAACCGTTCACGAATTTTCGGATGGATAATAATTTGATAAAAACGGGACTGTACCACGGACTATAATAATACCCTACACAAAAGGTTCAATTCTTAGCAAGCTGTATATGGATCATCATTGAAAGTTATTCGAATAATTTTTTTTTCGTCGCCCATATCATTAGAGTTTTTTGCTTTTGGCTCTATTTATTTATTATAGATAAGGAATAAAATGCCTTTATTGTTCTGGGCTTGTTTTGCGATTAATGACTGAAATTATTCATCCTGCGGGCGGATCTACGGAGGGGGAAGGTTTTCGGGTTGAAGCCCCCCCCCCCCGAAACGGTAAAATATAACAATGTATTATGAAACAAAAAAAAATTATCTCTAAAAGTATTATTGTTTGTGTAATTACACTTAAAAGTACTTAAAGAATCATTTAAACTCTATTTCATATAGGTAGTTAGTTCCTTTCCTTTTCTTCCTAAATAACTATCGTTATATATTTTTAAAAAAACATCTGTCCGGCTGAAGCCTCCCCAAAATTAGATCCTGGATCCGGTAGTGCCCTCAACTAAAGTTTGAATAGGTAATTTAATGCTCAGTACAATATTAGAATATTTGTTTTTGAGTCAATTCTTATGTGCAATGTGCAACACAAAATTTATTCGCAAATTATCACCAGTAAATAAAATGAATAAAATAATAGTCACCTTCGCAGATGCAATAATTTAAATAAAAGTTGAAAACTGTTGAGTAATATCTAATCCTATCTCTAAGCAAACTTTTTAAACATGATATGTAAATTACAAAAAAACAAAGCGAATCAATAAATAAGCAATTACAAAATGCAGTCAAATCCTAAATTATTTTGAATTCAAACCTAAAAAAAAAAAAATGCATATACAACATCTTGGGAATTGATCATGGGTATTGGGGTTGATAACCAACTCATATTTACTATTTGTAAGAAGTATAATTTATTGATTAACGAATAATAAATAAATGTGTTATTGAAACCTTCATAGCAAATTAACGAATACTAGTTATTTATTGATTATTGTTAATATAATTTACCTTAACATGTCAATGATCATTTCATTAGTAACAACGAACATTTAGTTTAAATCTTTGACTTACCAATAAGAAAGACCTTTTTTGAATGCTTTATCAATTCCATAGGTTAAATCACTCCTTAGGGTCTAATATTCTCTCTTTGAATCCAGGCTTAATTAGGAAAAAATGGTTGGCTAATATTACCGTATTTTTGCTTATTTATTTTCAATTTGGAAAAAATATGTAGACAAAGAAATACCTCTAATTCTGGAAAACTATTTGATAACTTGTGCCAAAATTGTAACCCATTCTCTCCTCCTCCACTTTATCAAAGTATATTCACAATTAATTCTAAATTATATAGGCAATTGTTTTAAAAAAATTCTTTTTGCTTGTAAATTTTAAGAAATATTACTAAAATATGTAAACTGCTAATAACTATCATTTATAAAATATAGATAATAGGAAAGTAATTTTGTTTGTTGTCCCTTTAGGACAAATTATAGATAGAGAATAAATGCTTGTGTGGCCATACATAAAATTAATTATTTACAATTGTTATTATGATTAAAATATTGGAAAAAGAATAAAACAAACATACTTAAATGTATAATACAAATGTGGGAAAATAAAATAACGTAAGTAAAGAAAATCATTTCTGGAACTTTAAAAGGTTCTCTTATCTACATTTCTCAAGTCATTAAGATTACATTAAGAAAAGCGTTAGGTTGACTGCGTTGCCATAACAAAACTACGTAACCAAATTACAAATTACCGAAAATTAGCATGTTAAATACATTTTTAATTTTCTAAAAGATGCTGTGGTAAAAGTCACAGCAGGAAGTAATTTTAAATATTAATAATTCTTATGCAAAAGAAGCGTAATTTTTAGTGTTAAAATAATGAGATATACACACCCAATACATACCCAAAGACACACGCAAATATATTTACTCATATTTGAATATTAATAAATATAAGAAGGAACCTAATGTTATGGTTATAAAGCCTCGGATGAAATTCCAATATTTTAAAATAAAATTAATTGTATAGATTTGTAATAATATACCTTATTTTGCCAAATGGGTCATATTTCAGACTTATTTTTTTCAGAGATTCGTGTCTCTATGGTTTGTAGGCTGTTAAG